AAATAATTTATAATTTACATTCCGTTCTGTGGGATATCGTGCAGGGACAGACAGAAATATCACATAGGCTATAGACCTAAAGTCAGGCTGTTAACTAGTAAAGTTACGTCTAGAGTAACTAAGTTATCAAGAAAAACAATCTACCCTAACAAAAGTCTATTTTGTTAATTAATTTATGTAACCAAAATGGTATTATTTCATATACACGTTACTTAACCAATGTCAGGATATTATTTCTTCTTTCAATTGGAGTTTGCCGCAACTGCAAAAACGAACACATGTACATCTTCTAGTTCTATTGCTAAAATGAGAGTCAGGCATGGTGGATCGATCGAACAAGGACATGTACATGTGAAACGATTAAGAGTCAAAGTTAAAAATACCACTGCGCAGTCGTGGCAAAAAAAAAAAAACGCATGACGGGCGACGCACGACGACAGATATGGAATTCCATAAGTTGTAGCCTATGTAGGCCAATCATGCCTATAGATGTTAATTTTAAAAATTATTTTCCATTTCAATTTTATTTTAATTCTTATTTACTCAGGAATCCATTTTTCTGATGTAGCTGAGCCTCATGTACATAATGAAGCTGTTGTCCAGTAAGAACTTGTAACATTGATCATTCTTTAAATTTGGAGTCAAAAGGGACTTTTTTCCGTCTCTGTTAACTCTGACATGTTTGACAAGGGAGGTATCACTGAAATTAATTTCAAACTATTTTTATTTGTTTGGAAGGTAATTTGCAATACTTATTCTGTCTTGGAAATTCAACAGTGAGTTCTAAACGTTAAAAATCATATGCCAGACGTAACAGGGACGGAAAAAAATTGGACCCCAAATTTATAGAATGATCCACATACTCTTAAATGCATTGATTGTAATATTTTTTATGATTATCGTTCCACGTACAGCTCATCACATCATCTTATCATTAAATGGATAGCAGTTGAAGAACTTCAAACTGGTTCACGAGCGTGTTTGAAAGTGACTTGAGATATCATCATGAATGGCTTAATCCCTCAGCTAACTACAGAACAACTTCACAAACTCCATCAGGTAAACATTGCTGAGATTTTGACCAAATTAATGTTTGAACTATTTCAGATTTTTGATGTCGTTGCCGAACAAAACATTGAATTCAGTCCCCCCAAATGGTAGTTTCTTTTTTTTCTTTTTAAATGTATACCGGTATTTGTGGTGGGTGTAATGAGGCGATCTGCATTATAGGGCTGGGTCAATTCGAATAATTCACTATTCGAATATTCAACTTTCAATTTGATTGAATATTTGAATACTTGGTCGCACCGACCAGCAGGTTGTTGATGAACAATACATGTACAAAATCAGTTGCAATAACACACGTAATTGTACATTATGATCAATTTTATAGCTCCTCACATCTAGGAGTATCTCCAGTTATGATTTAGCAAGATTTAAGAGATGAACAAGACTTCTTGCCCTGTTGAAAATTTCAATTCCTTTTAAATTGTTTCATGAATAATTCACTTGTTAAAGATTTCTGATGCTTTTCATTTGAATCTGCTTGAAACAAGTCTCCATAGTACAATTCGTCTCATTTAAAACAAAAAAAGTTGTCCCTTTTCATGACTTTTGCATTTGAATATTCAAATTCAAAAAATAATAATTGAATATTCGACAATCATCAGATATTCGGTTATTCAGATATTTGGCACAGCCCTACTATTATTATCGCTCAATCTTTTGTGCAATCGCTCAATCTCATTGCTGGATAATTTGTGGATAATTCCCCATCGGCAACTTGCCATTCCTTTCATTTTTGTGGGTGTGGAAGTTTGTCTCAAACAAGGAATCAAAGTTAGAGAAACAAGATCGACCAATTATGTATAGGATCAGGCACGATGAATAATAAATACCAGATTAACTGAGTTATTTTGACTTGAGTGATTATTGCTGATTTCATTTCAGTTTCGTTCAGCTGTGTCTGATATCCTGAAGCCTGAACACGATGACCATTACTTGTTGCGATGGCTCAGAGGTGAGGCGCCAGTCTATTTCTGGGATTTGATCAGTGGGTGGAACTAGTATACCCAGCTAGAAATGAGACCGAGGGGTACCCCCCCAACATGTCCAATCCCTATACACATTCCAGACTATTGTTACTTAACACATCCCTCCAAGATGTCTGAAAGGAATTCCCCAGATTCCTGCGAGACAATTACCAACACAAAGCAGGGGGGGTTCTCTCCGTCTCATACCTTGCTGCATATGGGAACTAAGGTGGAAAACAGGGGGCGGATACTGCCCAAAGCTCTCGGCTGTGGTCTGTGTCATAATAAGAGTGAAGTTCAAATGATTTTCAGTACCAAACATGACTTCATATCAGATTACAGTTACATGTATTTATTCATTATGTTTCGAGGCTATTGTGTCTATCAGCAATGTGGGACATTTTTTCATTGACACATTTGGCAACAAACATTACCCCAAAACTAAAAGTTACGTTCCACTCCAGCATGATAAAACAGGCATGCAAATTTTCCTCGGATCAGCTGATTTCGTTGTTTTTCACTTCACACTCACGCCATCGAAAATTGAAAAACACAGCGTCTTGTGAAGATTGGAATTTCCTCTTTTTTTGTCAGAGTCCAAGTTAGAAACAAGTAGGGCATTTTATGGACCAAACTCGGAAGTATTTGTATTCTGTTCCCCGTCGATAAATACAGGCATATGATAAATATTAATTTAAAAAACACAATGCAGTTTGGACAAACTGAGTGCCAAATTGGCAAAGTTTACAAAGGACCACAAAAGAAAGCCTACAAATTCCCCAGAAAAGTTTTCTGCAAATTCATCATTGAAAGTTCAACATTCTTTTAAACGATCTATCTGAAAACTACCAGCATATTGATACAAACTTACATCACATGCTGGTCTTTATTACACGCATATTAATGCTTTCCTCAGCAATGTCTTTGGCAGTTTTGGCCCAGGACTGATATGTTGGAGAATGTATTATGTTGAAACTGAAGTTTTTTACACTGGTACCTGGTTTGTTGGGTTTTTTATGGCAGACCAAATGACATTAGTTCATCGAGAATTTATACTTGTCTGTTCTGAATGCATGTGTTTAAGGAGTTACTGTAATTTAACGGGAAGAAACAAAATATTGAAATGGAAAGCTTCAATCAGCAAAAACTAGTTTGACAAGAAATATTGCCTAAGAATTTTACTGAAATGCAAAGCAATCAAAGGATAAGCAAACAGATTGTGCATTTTTAATGAGGCAGTTTGTTAACTCAAGTCAGGTCATTTGGGAACAGAACACATGCACGATTACATGCACACTGATATAGGACAGACTAGACCTCGTGCTTCAGGATGGGCAAGTGTTGTTGGAATACTGAACAGGTTCATTATAAGAGGTTCTGATTGGCAACTGTGCACTTATTGTAAAGTTAAATTATTTCTAGATTTATTTATTGGTATCATGACTTTGGGGGAAATTAAGGTACAAGTAATGAATGAATACATGAGGATTTTTATATTGCATTCGAAGATTCTTCTTAAAACATTTCATAAAATGCACTAGTAAAACAACTTCATAAATTTATTCACATTATAAATAATGTGTACATCTTATATCTACAAATCTAAACAGATCTAACTGAAGTTAAGGGTAAACTACATGAATGTCCTTTTTCTGTATTTCTCAATATTTACAGACATTTATGGACATGTGCATTGCCGATATCTCTAATGTCAGTTTTTATTCCCTGCCTGTTATACAGCTCGGAAATTTGATCTCAAGAAATCAGAGAAGATGCTCCGTGATGTGAGTAACAATTGTACAGTACCACAACACCTTTCATCTTTTAGTCCATCGTTTCTCTTGCCTTGATTTCTAACTCGTGTGGCCTCTGAGCTGTAGATGTTGCATCCCTGTTCCGTTTCCTTCATTCCCCCCTTTTTTTTCTTTTCAAAGAAAAGTGCGGAAGTCACTCATATACCAAGTGTCTGACATTTATAGCGATTGATTTACGCCTTAATGTATGTTTAATTTGCCGTAAAGGTAGACACCCCCCCCTTTTCCAGCCTTAGAATGTGTCAAACTTTAATGACCTTTCCTCATGCTGTCTGGTTGCCGTAATTGCCTGGCGCTGCGAGTTAGTTCATAATTCTTCACCCTTTTGCCGTCTTGCCATTATCTCCAAGGCCGACAGAGGGGTTGTTAATGTGATTAGCACCATTGATGAAAATTTGACTCGTCTGTCGTGGAAATGATTTGGTCCCAGAGCTTGGGTGCCAGGTTACATGTACATGTTCTGTCAAAACCAGACATCTCTTGGCAAAGCTCAAAACACAAATGAAATCAAAATATGACAGTGGGAGATTTTTCAAAAATATTTATTTCCATGTAAATATATCAATATTTTACTGTGTTTTTGCAAATAAATCTGTAATTCTAAATATCGCTGCCTTTAATTCAGTCATCTTTGATGAAATGGTTGCTGAAATTTCTCGAGATTTGACAGTTTTTCCCCGTAAAGATAAATTCTACAGTATCATCTTTTGCAGACCTTGTCAAATGAAAGCCTCAAACTTCAACAGGCAACAGAGATCTGTATTCACCTTTAAGATAAGAAGAATTTAAATGTGGAGAATTTTGCCACGAAAAGTCCATCATTGAAAGGCAAAGCAATCATATAACCTTGTTCCCCAAACTGTCTTTCCCCGAGCCCTGCCCCATTTTGCATTGCTGTGTTTTTTCCATGTTTTTAATTAATTTAGTTATTTTAATTTGTAACATTTATTCATTCTTTTCATGACAATAAATGCGTGTATATAGACTTGTATAAATTTAAGAATCTGCCATATGAGGGCAAAAATTGCGGTAAAAACAAAAATACGGAAAGAGTCAAGAAAGTCCACTTGCCACGTCTTGGAAAAATCTGACAGCTTAAGAAAAAAAAAGACTGCATTTTTAAGTCGGCCTATTAAAACCCTCCTATGCTGAAGTCACTCTTTGGGTCATTTGGTGAACACCTCAAAGAAGCACAGCTGTGTTGTGTCGCGCACTGCACCAACAGTCCCTCACAGGAATATCAGATTGCACTTTTGTGCTGCCCAAC